CTGTATTAATCCCTTGTTTGGATGTAATGGGAGTTTGCCATCTCTGAGCGATCATAAGCTCTAGGAAGGCAGGTAGGATGCCTCAAATATGATTTCTCCACCTCCCCAGGCAGCCTAGTTCAGCTCCATGTAAATAGCAAATAGATGCTTTGGAATGTTCTAAAAGTCATTGTTTAAGGTATAAATCAGGGTAGAATAAGGATTAAAAATCCAAAGCAAGAGGGGGGAAGCCTTGATTTAGTCAGTTGCATATTTATTTTCCTGGAATGCTTAATTTTTCAGCTTTCAGCTTCTTCTAGCACACTGTAAGTGTTGATAGAAGTTTGGTTTTCATCTGCAAGTAATCTGTAAGCAAAGAATGAAAATAAAAAAACTTGCTTTGTAGTATTTTAATAAGATGACAAATCAAGACAACATACTGTATCGCTAAATACGACTACATGCTATACATATTTAAAGAGCCCTTCCTTTTATTAAGATTTGTTTTATTTATTTGAAAGGTAGAGAGAGGGAGAAAGAGAGATTTTCCATCCTCTGGTTCACTCTAAATGGCTGCTACAACCGGGGCTACACCAAGCCGAAGCCAGGAGCCAGGAGCTTCTTCCGGGTCTTCCACATGGGTGCAGGTGGCCCAAGCACTTGGACCATCTTCCACTGCCTTCCCAGGCCATAAGCAGAGAGCTGGATCAGAAGAGGAGCAGCCAGGACATGAACCAACACGCAGATGGAAAGCTGGCACTGCAGGCGGCAGCTTTACCTGTTACACCACAGTGCTGGCCCCAATGCTTCCTTATATTTTTTTTTTTTCAGTTTTTACAACAGTAGTCACTTTATGTTTAACATAGGCTGACATTTTTGTCTGTGAATTTCATTCATTTTAACTTTTTGTTTTCACCGCTTTCTTGTGAAGCTAGGATCAATGTTTTTATTTAGCTATTTTGGTTTTTTTCTCTGATATAGTATTTCCAAAGTGTGATACTCAGAACACTAATCTCATTAGTTAGCCCTCAACAATGGATTCTATAATCAAACTTGTTTTTAAAAAATGCCACATGGAATTCACAGCTTAAGTAATTGAGTATATATTTAAAAAGTACAATTTGTGAAATGTCTTAAAGGAAATTAAATTATATCTAATGGAGAATTTCCCAATATTTATTTTTATTTTTATTTTTGACAGGCAGAGTGGACAGTGAGAGAGAGAGACAGAGAGAAAGATCTTCCTTTTTGCCGTTGGTTCACCCTCCAATGGCCGCTGTGGCCGGCGTGCTGCGGCCGGCGCATCACACTGGTCCGAAGCCAGGAGCCAGGTGCTTCTCCTGGTCTCCCATGCGGGTGCAGGGCCCAAGGACTTGGGCCATCCTCCACTGCACTCCCGGGCCATACCAGAGGGCTGGCCTGGAAGAGGGGCAACCAGGACAGAATCCAGCACCCCGACCGGGACTAGAACCGCTAGGTGGAGGATTAGCCTATTGAGCCGCAGCACCGGCCCCAATATTTTTGATCTTAGAAAATATTCCTCTCTTCTAAACCTAGAGACAATACTTTAAGTATTTAGCAATGGTTACATTGTTTCTCCTTTCACCCTGCTGCTCAGCCTGTCAGCCTCCACTGTTCTTTCATAACCCACATTGTGGGAGACAACGACTCCTACAACCGGCCATATAGGAATAACTGGCAGTGTCTGTTTGCTGTGAATTGTGGTTTGCAGATAAGTCCAAGGCATTGTCTTCTGGGTTTCTATGCCACCTTGAAGTTACTATCTCCCTGAGCTGGGTACAGGCTGACTGACTTAGATGGCACAGGTGCTAGTCTGGACGGTGGAGCAAGTTTCTTCAGGACCTCAGCCCTTGTTCTTTTGAATGCTGGATTCCGAAAATACTGGAGAGGTGCCTGCTAGAGAGGCCATGACAATGAGACTAATAGAAGCAGCTACTTGGAGAACTTTCTTCTCTCCTGTACACCACCAGACCATGACATCTGTCAGTATTTTGTCAGAGTCCAGTCCTGTGGGACAACCTTAGGTAGTTGCTAATCTGTACCATTTGAATGCATGAAAACATGTCTTCTTTATCAATTGCTTATTATAAAGCCATTATGTTTAAATATGCAGATCTGCTGGAATTGAGAATTTACAAACTATATTTTAGTTTTGAGCTTTGTGAAATAAAAACTAAACTTTTATAGAGTTTAGTACAAACAAGAAATATGTCACCTACACACAATCACAGATAACTTGAGGCACCGGGATTAGTGGGCAAACACTGTTATAATAACATAGTGTGAATTCTCTGAGAAAATGGTTGCAAATGTAAATGCGAGCCAGTTGATATATTATATCTTGTCATATTGGAGTTAGAATTAAATGTACACACACATGCACACACACAAATATGCAAATGATTATGATTCCTTATAGAACACTTATAGAATAATCCTCATTTACTTTTGTAGAGTATTTTTGAAATGTAAATGTGTTCACTGAGTAGCTCAGGGGTCAACATTAGTTGAATTTTTAAGAAACTCATGATCATACCTTCTATAGACTGGTTCCTATATCTCAAGGCTGCTTTCCCATTATTCCATTAGGAAAATTTAACTGCTCTCTCATATCTAATGAAGTCCTATTGATTTCCACCTTGCACTAAGCAAATTTTTTAATGTAATAGTATTTTCTTTTTATCTTCCTTTTTATCTTCCTCTCACTGACCCTAGGTGGACTTTCCATCTTTTTTTCCTAAAGATTTATTTATTTGAAAGGCAGAGTTACAGAGAGGTAGAGACAGAGAGAGAGATTTCTTCCATCTTCATCCACTGGTTCACTCTCCAGATGGCCGCAACGGCTGGAGCTGCGCCAATCCGAAGCCAGGAGCCAGGAGTTTCTTCCGGGTCTCCCATGCAGGTGCAGTGGCCCAAGGACTTGGGCCATCTTCTACCGCTTTCCCAGAACACAGCAGAAAACTGGACCGGAAGTGGAGCAGCCAGGACTCGAACTGGCGTCCATATGTGATGCCGGCACTGCAGGCAGCTGCTTTACTTGTTGCACCACAGTGCTGGCACCTATTTGTTTGGCTTTGAACTTGTGATTATGGTTAAGAGAAGTGCATACAAAAACCTGCGCAATAAAGGGAGGCAGAAAAAAGACTAGTGGAATTTTGGGGACAATCAAGTTATTATAGAAAGAGAATGTTGACCTTGGAAGGCTAGGGTGAGTGAGGATAAAGGCCAAACACCAAGAATAGACTGGGTGAGTAGAGAAATAGCCAAAAATCTCACATCAGCAGTGAATTTGGAAAGAAGATGTCTATAGAAGGAGGATTTTAAGAGAACTTTTGTGGGTGGCTCATGAAAAAGTCTCCTTGGGAAAGCTTTTCAGATTTTCTCAGCAAGGAGCCCAGGTCTGATTGTGTTGTTGCACAATGGCCCTGAAGAATGCCAGTTGTGTATTTCCACACCTTCTAGTCTATAGCTTTCTTCCTACTTCCCTTTTCTAAACTCCTACTCACTTTTAGGGTTATAGTTTTTGTGTGTGTGTGAAGAAGTTTATTATAATGCCCCATTCCATAATAATTTGAAATGTCATTTAAACTCATTAAAGAATTGATTATTTCATATTTACCATCTGTATATAAATTTTATTAGAACGATGCTTTGAATCCCCAGTCAGAATCAATCTTTAGTTCTGGGATCTTTTTTCTAGAGTTTTCTTACTCCAGGACCTGGGTCAGGAAGACTATTACTAGAGGGTAATGAGATTGTTAACACATCTTCTCTTTAGTCATTATGGCCTGTAGGAATTTGTGACTTTTATCAATAATGAATTAAAATAATCACATTTTTGCATTTTTCTACTTAAAACAACTTTATCTTCTGAACATTAATTTATATCTCTATCATTGCACTTAATACATTATTATAATTTGTTTACATTTCTGTCTCTCGAATAAAGCAGTTAAATACTTGAGAAGAGGACCTGAATGTTGAATCTTGGGACTTATCATGGTGTCTAGTACATTTTAGGTGCTCCACAGATGTGAACGATTGAATGAATTTCACTGGGAATCTCCTCTGAAGGAAAAGAATCCTGAGAAGGAATTTTATATCTATCCTGTTTCAGTTGAAAGAATAAGACCCACGGTATAATGAAAGCAGTATAGAATTTAGTCCCAGGATACCTGGATTCAAATTCCCCTTGGCCTTAGGTGGCCCATTTATTAGGCTATTTCCCTTCAGTGTGTCACTTTAGTTTTTGAGACCACTTTCCTGAAATACAGATAAAGTATACTGTTATACATGGTTGTCATGATGACCTAATAAGATTAAAATTATAAAATTGGACCTTTATAGAGAAGCTGATTTATTCAATCTGAATTTATAACATATTGACCAATGCATAATTAAAAATGAGATAATCTGTAACAGAGTCAGTGTCAAGAAGCAATGCCTCGCAATTCTAGGTTGCTTAACACAGAAAAGGGCATCAAGCAAGGTTGTGAAGTTTCGCTTATTATTAAGACATTTTCTCGCTCTTAAATAATAGGACAAGACTGTATGACCTTTGAGGAGAGTGACCCACCATATATTCTATGACTCATGAAAGAAAACACAATTTGTAGATAAATCAAGAGAACCTGCTTTTCTGCTGTGCCAAAAATAAGGCAAAAATTTGGAAATGTCAGATCTCACTAAAAGCTCTTTATTTCTTTCATTAATTCAGAGAACATTCTCATTTCTTAGTCTTTTAAAATTAACAATTTCCTTTAGCAATGTGTGTACATTAAGAGGCAGTAGAGAGATGGAGTTTTAATTTTTACCAATTCAATTTAAATGCAAATGTTAAGCACTCGCATGATGCTACTGTGTACATAATTAAGCATCATTATATACCACAGGAATCATTTAGAATTCTCCTGAGAGTCATTCTACTATGAAAAACATGCATTGTACTGACAACCATGACATGTACTTCTGTCCTCATTAATGCCTCTTTTGAATTATAGGTCAACTGATTATGGGACCACCTATGAGAAGCTAAATGATAAAGTTGGTTTGAAAACAATTTTGAGCTATCTGTATGTGTGTCCTACCAACAAGCGTAAGGTAAGCACTATATGTTCAGCATGCTGTTTGATGAGGTGACTCCTGCCTTGGTTGGCTAACTTTCCTAGCTGTGTAAAATGCATTACAGTTAAGCTGGGAGTAGAGATGTAAAGAAAGGTGATGGGTGCTAAGGTGGTACAATGTCTGCCACTTCATGATTTCCAGGCCAGCAGCTGTGCATATGGAAGTGTGCAGGTAGGTAGATCATGGTCCTTTCAGAGAGGCAGCTGCAGAGAGTGAGTTTTACTGAGTGGATGCCACTGACCCTCTTTAGGGACTCTGGTGAGTCAGTCAACAGAATCAGGGTCAACCTTGACACCTCAGAGGAAAGGTGGGTTTTCATCTGATGCCGCTGTTTTCCCTTGGCATGGAATGAATAACTTACTTGGAATTTGAGTTAATTCATGCCAGAATGGAGTCACTGTTTTTGGCAGAAATGAGTGCCTTGCAAACACTGGAGAGATTACTCCCTCCTGAACATGGGTCTTGGCTGCAAAGAGCCTTGGAGTTCATCCCATAAAATACTTCTATTTTACTGATGAGAAAAATGGAATTATAAGGGAAATGGTTTGCTCCCATTGCAGTTACAGGCAAAATCAAGACTAAAATTGAAATCAAATGTTTATCAAGTGTTTAGGTTGACAGTCTTACTTTTTCTATTGTGTCACACCACATGCATAAGCAGTCCTATGTACTCGTAGGAGATGTGATTTTCTCAGGAAGAAAATGTTTGCTTTTAAATGGGAAACGCATTTGTCTCAGGAGGAGTTTGGCACTATATCCATATGTTTATTTTTATAAACTTGCATTTATCAAATTCTAAATTTTGACATGTTATTTCTAAGCAGCATATGAGTTATATTAACTAATAGTATCCATCAGGAACTAGAAAAGCTCTGCTCATTAATTTCTCCTACACCATATACTGTTATGAAGTTAACACTGACACCTAGATTCTCATCGTAGATTTGTCATTAGGTACTGTTAATGACCTTGATTATATTCTGCATTTTATACACCTAGACTGTAGGAAGTGGATAATAGTGTCTTTCAAGCTATGATCCTCAGCTCTGACTGCATGCAGAAATCACAAGGTGGTCCCCGAAGATGCCAGCCCTGGTCCCATCCCTGTTGCTCAGGTAGCTGTATCTGGAGAAAGCTCCCCAGATGCTTCTGATATGTATTAAGGATTAAGAACCAGTGATGTAAAGTTTAATGTTCCCTGTGTCTCCAAGAATTTCAAGTTATTTAGTAGAAGCAGCATAACTTGACAGTTGAGCATAGACTCTGCAGTTAGATGACTTGAGTTAAAGCCCAGCTAAGCCAATTATCACATGTACAAGTGCAGTGATTTACTTATCTCACAAGCACAGTGTCATCAAATTTAAATGGGGATAATTATAGTACCTACCTCATGAGGAAAGTTGTAAGGATTATATGAAATTAGACACTTCAAGTGCTTAGCACAGGGTAGCAAAGCCTTAATCAGTATTTTCTCTTCATTGTATTCTCCTTTCTTATCTCCCTGTTTCTCCTGCTTCATATAATTACTGGAAGGAAGAGTAATGATTATATAGTAGTGTCCGGTGGAACTTTCTGTGATGATAGAAATGTTTCTCTAAGCTGTTCAGTACTCTAGACGCTAACGATTGTTTCTGTGGAGTATTTGAAATATGCCTAGTATAACTGAGTCACTGAATTTGAAATTTCATTTAACTTTATTTTTGTATTATTTTTTTTTATTTTTATTTTTTTGACAGGCAGAGTGGACAGTGAGAGAGAAAGACAGAGAGAAAGGTCTTCCTTTGCCGTTGGTTCACCCTCCAATGGCCGCCGCAGCCGGTGCGCTGCGGCCAGCGCACCGCGCTGATCCGATGGCAGGAGCCAGGTGCTTCTCCTGGTCTCCCATGGGGTGCAGGGCCCAAGCACTTGGGCCATCCTCCACTGCCCTCCCGGGCCACAGCAGAGAGCTGGCCTGGAAGAGGGACAACTGGGACAGAATCCGGTGCCCCGACCGGGACTAGAATCCAGTGTGCCAGCGCCGCAAGGTGGAGGATTAGCCTAGTGAGCCGCGGCGCAGGCCTCATTTAATTTTAACTAGTTTAATTTTGTAAAGCCTTATGTGTTTGACAGCACAACACAGTGACATCAAATTCACATATTTAGAGCTGTAGCCTCAACATTCCTGTCTTTTGCTTACCTGCCACTTGTTGGTGTGTCAGCAGTAATTACATCTAAATGGTTGTGATCTGCTATATTCAGACTCAAATTGAGGAATTTAACGTATACCCTTTATTTTTATAATGAGGTTCAGTTATTGGCTGGCTTTGAGTCAATTCTTGTAATTTCTGTTGTTGTTTTTTTTTTTTCACTCTGCTTCACATTTTTAGTAAATTTAATTTAGCAATCAACAAAATGCTTGTACCTTAGGATACAAGGAGAAACAAGCACCCCACACTCAGGAATCCTGTCTTCTGGTGGTAAACTCCATATGATTTATATATTTGAAAGATCCCTGGATTAAGATTTAGGGGTCTAGGGCTGGTGCCATGGCTCACTTGGTTAATCCTCTGCCTGCGGCGCCAGCATCCCATATGGGCACCAGGTTCTAGTGCTGGTTTCTCCTTTTCAAGTCCAGCTCTCTGCTGTGGCCCGGGAGGGCAGTGGTGGATGGCCCAAGTGCTTGGGCCCCTGCATCCACGTGGGAGACCAGGAGGAAGCACCTGGCTCCTGGCTTCGGATCGGCACAGCACCGGCTGTAGCTGCCATTTGGGGAGTGAGCCAATGGAAGGAAGACCTTTCTCTCTCTCTCTCTCTCCCTCTCCCTCTCCCTCTCCCTCTCCCTCTCCCTCTCCCTCTCCCCCACCCCCACTGTCTATAACTCTACCTGTCAAAAAATTTTTTAAAAAAATTAAAAGATTTAGGAGTCTAAATATCTGCCTTGAAGCTTGCCTGCACCTAGCAGGAGAGTTTGCATGAGTCATTTATACTTCTCTATCTTTAAAGCGATAGAAGCTTTAAAGCTTTAAAGCGATAGAAGGACTAGGCATTTACAACTGGAAGAAATTTTAGAATCATTCAAACCAGTAGTAGTCTCTGTTTTAGTGATGCTGTTCCAGAGGAGCACGATAAAGAAGAGGTCAGATATTGACTGTGATTATAAGCTCTTCTGTACCTGCAGAATATGCGGTGAGACTCTGAAAACTCAAATGATTTGAGGAATTGAACTTGAAAGCAAGACTCTCAAGTCCAGATGTAGTTCCAGAGGCTGAAGGGAAGCTATGGACAAAGACTGTAAAGGGCCCTGCAATTGAATTCACACAACTTAATATACCATATTAATCAGGCTGCATAATTAATTGATCATTATTTGGAGGACTTTTAAAAAGGGCATTTGGCCATGGGTATTCAGTTGATCTTAATTAAGACTTGGCAGACCCTAGTTCCAGGAAAAAAAAAAAAAAAAAAAAAAAGCATTCTTTGTGACTATGAGCCTGTTACTTTCCAGAATCTGAGGTGGTCGCAAGCCGTTTAAATCACAATGTTTATGAGTGAACCTAAACGAAGGGATCTTTTCCTCTACAGATAAATGAGGCCTTCAGGGTCACTTTCTGAGATGCTGATAGATTTAAGATATATTGGAGGACGATGAAGGTCTTTACAATGGTGCAAAAATCAATAAAGTTGACACAGCAGTATATTTGTGTACAGTTTTTCTACTTATGAGGTGAATTTATCACCATGAAATATGTACTTCCCCAGAAAGGGACATATTTGAACCAAATAGATAGGAGCTGCAGACATTTTAGAGTGTGAATATGTTTTTCCCAATCAATGAGAGTTTATGTATTAAAAAAAGAAGAAGAAAGGAAGAAGTATCAGGCTCTTTTAATTATGCAGGACAAAGGCACTCAAGTTCATTTCAATTCTCCTAAGATTTCTCCTATCCTCCAGTGAAAAGGGCAGGCTCCTTTAAAGGATTGTGTTAATTCTTCCAGGTCTCTAGGGTGCTATCTAACAAGTTAACATCTTTTGTAGCAGATAGTTCCCTTTGCTTTTCACAACAGTGGGAGCAACTGGAATTAAACTGACATCAGCCCAACTCTGTATGTTCCCAGGAACCTGTTTTGCCTTCCTGGTCATGCTGCTATTTTTAGCTGTTTGTGAGGACAAGAGCAGTTCTTGGATCATCATGTCTCAAACAGCAGGCATCACGCCCTGGCTTTGCAGGCAGCTTGTTAGGGACATTACTTGGATCAGAGTCCAGAGTAAAGCAGGCCCTTATTTATAGTTTAAACTGATGATCATCCATTGGCTGGCTCTTTTTCTGCAAGCCTGCTGTACATGACAGCAGCTTTCCTTAGATAGGTCTATAACAGTAATCTCATCATATGTCAGTCTAGAAAATCTTGACTAAGCAACAGAGAGAGCCTGCTCCTGGGTATTATCCCAGCTCATTCATACTCTGTATCAGAGGAGCCCTACACTTGCCCTCTGATAAATGAGGCAGGGCCAAAAGAATATGGGTCCATTGCCAAAAGAAGGGCAGGCTAGCTATCCATCACCTTGTCTCAGAGTTAGAACACCCATCTGCAGTTCGTGACAAATCCCAAGTCTTGCTTGCGTTATCAGAGGCTTATCAGACACAAATGTATAGTCTTCAATGCAAAAAGAAGATCTAACTTGTACTTGATAGGAATAGCTAAGATACAGAAGATGATGGGAAGAACTAACACAAATGTAGCAAAGAAAAAAAGTGAATGTTGAAATCTCAGTCTTCCTCTAAAGTTATCTGCTAGTTTATTTGTATTCTGCCTAAAAAGAAAACTTCTTTATACTCTGTGTGTATCTATCAGCAATACCTTTCCCATCACCTCAAACCAACCTTAGTGTTCTCGCTTCATGAGGTATTATACAATATTTTCAAGAATTAAAGAATATAAAAACCCCAAGTGAAATTCATTGGAGGAGAAAAAAGAAAGGGTGTGTATGTGTGTGTG